CTTTTCCCTCCCCTCCCCTACAGCGGCAGTGCTGTCATTGAGTATTGCTATCATAGACCCAGTAAACACAAATACTTATTATTACACTCCATAGGAACAGTAACAATACAATAAAACATAAATAAATAATAAAAAAAAAAATAATTACAGTTTTGGTGTGCGTCTCACCACAATCACCTTATTCCTTCTCCAAAAATGCCAAGTAGTTTCCCCATCTTCTCTGATAAACATCCAATTTATCTAGTATTCTATATGTCTTTTTTTCATATGCTGCCACCTTCCCGAGTTCCGTAACCCATTCTTGAAATGATGGTGGACCTACTGAACGCCATCCCCTCATAATAATTTGTCTTCCAATCATAATACTTATTTGAATCCATTCACACATCTTCACACCAGGTCCCAATACAAACGGGTCCCCTAATATATAGGACAAAACGAAAAGCCGCATCCAGAAACATCCTGAATGTAATTATGTTCTTTAACCCAGAATTCTTGTATTTAGTTTTTACTCTTTTTTTTTTATTTATTTATTTATTTTACTTTAAACATTTTGTACTGTAGCGATTAAACAAATTAAGTCACAAAGAAAACTGCAAATTGAGTAATGATAAAGAAAACCATGTGTGAATATAATAATTACCCATTCAAATAAATATTTATAATAATAATTTATTTATTTTTTTATGTTGTGTTGTATTTTGTATATGGGTTGATTTGTTGAATGAATAGACCAATTACCATGTTTGTAAACATTCAGGATGCGCGCGCAGGGAGGTGGCAGAAAGCAACCGGGAGCGCTAGCATTTACAGCGAGGGAATGACATCAGATGCGGTGCAGAGTTTGTTGTTGTCTTAGAAATAAGATATATTACTAACATATTATATATATTATTTACATAATGCTTACAGCATATTATAACAGCTCGTCACCCAGTGACAAGCACAGTGATACAGCAAAATTAACGTTAAAGTGAGCGGCGTTCATCTGACAGCTCCATTTGCGATAGCTCCATCCCAATGAATATTGATAAGACGAAATGACCAAGCATTCAGCCCGAAATATACAATCTCAATGAAGCTTCAGTGATTTTACAATAGAGAAGTTAAAGGTCTACAAGTCTTTGGATGCCAACAATGTTGTTCTTTGAGGTCATGTGCAATAAATATTGCTCCATGATGACCAGATTCAAGAGCAGATTCAAGAGCTAAACACGGAGATTCTGCCTAGCCAAAGACAAAGAAACAAGACGGAGCTAATGTTATACAAGGCCTGGGTAATTAATCACCAACACGCAAAACGACTGCATTTTGAACTTCACCTGTACGGCAGGGTATGTGAACCTACACTGTAAAAAAAAAACCTAATTTTACAGAAAATATCCTTAAATTTTTTACAGTAATTTTTTGTCATTTCACATTATATTCAAAACGTAGTAAAATGACAACCAATCTCTCTAAATTAACCGTTTGACTTTCATTTTAGGTACTTTATTATTAAAGACAAATTACTGACATTTGTGTTTTTATACAGGGAAATTACAGTATTATTTATACAGTATTTTTTCTGTTATTTTAAATTATATTCAAAAGTTCGTAAAAATTACAAACAATATCTGTAAATTAACGGCTTGAATGTTATTTTATGTACTATATAAGTAATGACAAATTACAGCAATTTGTCTGTTTTTTACAAAAAAAATTGACGTATTATTTACAGTGTTTTTTCCTGTTTTTTAAGTACATTTAAAATTACGTAAAATTAAAGTAATAAATTGTAATTGCTTGCTCTGTAAAGAAATAAAAATAAATCGTAAAAAAAGGTCAAATGACTGGCAGCTACGGCTGCCAAACAAAATCCATAAAATTAAGGTAAAATTTCTTTGTTGCAAAAAATAAGAAATCTACAGATATTTTCATTAAAATGTTTACAGAGAAACACTGTTATTTTAAAGACTTTTCCTAGATTATTACGATCAAATCCATTTAATAAAGTAACACGCTAAGAGTGCTCACATACACCTGTTCCAGATTCCGCTGATTGCACACACACAGTTGGAGGACTGTTATGAACTGATTACATGCACTTTAAAAGCAGCACAGACGCACGCACCAATTGCTTAGTCTTGTTATACTGCTACTGTGAACATTATGACGCGTTTCTCTTCTTTTGCCTTGCTTTGTTTGTTAATTGTTTAAGTTGTTTGCTGCCAGGACTGATCATTTGCTTGTTAATTGACCATGACTCTGGATTCACTGCATACATCTGTATGCAGTTTGCCCCTGTGTTGACCCGCTTGCCTGACCATCTCTGTGTAATAAACCTGCATTTGAATCTGCACTTCTTTGTCAGCGTGCCCTCCACGTTACAGTTCCATTTAATTTAAGATTTGGAACTGAATCATTTCACACAACTTAAACCTCTACATGTTTTAAAGTAATACTATTCAATAAAATGTAATGTTATAGTTGTGAGAATTTTAATCAGTTGTATCTCGTTTGATGTTTTTCCAAACTTTTTTGATCCAAAATAAAACTGTTAAATTACGACCAAGAGCATGTCTTGGCATTTTATTAAAGGCGTTAAATTGTAAAAAAAAAAATTAAATAACATTGTTTTTTCTTGAACCTTTAGTGCAGTCACTTTATTGATGGTGTTCGATCATAATAATTTAGGAAAAGTCTGTAAAATAACAGTGTTTCTCTGTAAAACTCTTATTGTGTTACTTTATTAAATGGATTTGATCGGAATAATCTAGGAAAAGTCTGTAAAATAACAATGTTTTTCTGTAAATATTTTAATGAAAATATCTGTAGATTTATTATTTTTTGCACTTTATTTAAACAAAGAAATTTTGCCGTAATTTTATGGTTTTTGTTTGGCAGCCGTAGCTGCCAGTCATTTGACCTTTTTTTTACGATTTATTTTTTTACAGTGTACACATAGAGGTAAAGTTGGTTTTATATTCGCACATTCAGACTTTCTCCTTAATAATATAATTTCATAAAAATATTATTTGCAAACTCTAAATAGCGAAATATTAGCAACAGCCAATGACTATCAATATACAACATTATTCACAGTCAAATAAACAGTGCTAATGTTGTTTTCAAGTCACACTTGCAGGTTATTTCAGACCGAATATTCAAAGTGCCGTGGCAAACAATATAGATAGTGTGTCACAAGTTGTTATTGAATGAATGTGTGAATATAAAACTAAGTTTACCTTAATAAACTTTCACGTTGCATTCTTAGCATTCAGTGTCAGCAGTTTAATTAACCATATTTAACTGTTTTTGCTGAAATCATTTCTGCAATCAAAAACGAGTGATGTGTATGATTCAGCATAGCGTGAACTGACCTGATATGACATGAGAACTGCAGAGTCAAGCATTTCTAATTAGCTCTTCACTTCATTCAGCTCCCATTTAGCCAAAGACGTCTGCAGTCGGTATTAAAGCAGTGTGTGGTGTATGGTAAAAGTTAAGTTTTCTATTTTTGGACTCGAATTCGGCATCCTACCGCAAAACACGACATCTTTCCCATTGTAGCCTGCCTGTTTTTTGCAACCGGGGACCCGTGTGACGTCATGTGTGACGTAGGTTGGTAATTGGTTTATTAAGTTGTTTGGGGACTTTAATTATGACGTCAAAGTTGCAGAGCTTACCGGATGTATAAATTGCGTGTAGTAATGAATGAAAACAAAGTATGGAATGCTCGGTGAAACACGGTAAAAGGGGCACAGGTATACGGTTGCTTCACGGATTCCTCCTTCATGAGTTATAGCTCCTGGTTTGGAGGAAAAATAAGGTAATTTGGTTTATTTGTTAAAGATGTTTAATTGTTGATGTTGGCTTAGTGTTAAGTTTTTAGGATTTATTTGTGTTTGTTGTTTGTTTATTTTCTCTCTAGTTCTTACGGTGATTCATGATGAAATAATGCGAACTAATTCTATGGAGTGTGACCAATAAATGAATCGTGAACCATCTGTGAACGACTTAGTCATCTTTTAACCAGGAAGCTACACTATGCATTCTGTTAGGTTAATCGTGAGTAAAGTAATATATCATATTACACATGAAAAACTCAAAGTTAATCTTACATTTTGATTTAAAAAACCCAAATAAATCAGACCAAAACACTTTAACGTGGGCATTTGACAAAAAGATGATCAGTTGATTCGATACTTGAGTTACAAAAGACATCATTTGAGTTAGGATTACCACATTTAGATACAGTCTGTGGGGTAGATATTGTGTAACACTTTGTTGGGAACTGAATTTGTAAGGTAAGTTTTTTTTTTTCCAATTAAATTGATCTATTAGAGAATTCCAAAGACATTTTCTTTGACTGAAACACATTTCTTATATTTTTGTTGCTACATTTCATTTTAGGCGGTAAATACATTCAGTCTTTTACTTCCTGCCCTTCATCTGAATTTGGATCATCACAAGAACCATGTGATTGCAAACAACTTATACTGTTACAAAACTACCCTGCTGCCTACCTAATAATAACCATTTTTGCTATTACTTTGTATAGTTAGGGTGCTTTCACACCTGTGAATCGATTCAGTTGTTCCGAAACAGAGATAACGAATGTTACATTATTGCTATTTGCTCTTAGAGCGGTTCGCTTTCACACTGAAGTTTCTAATCAGACCAAAAGAGCTAAAACAAGTCACGTGCGAGTAAACTCTCCTCACATTGGTCAGAGTGTCAGGGTTTATTTTGCAGCGTCCCGCTCAGCTGTCAGGAGAGGTGGTGGTTTGGTGGTGATTGACAGGGTGCATGCGCGACGTGTCTGAGAAGAGATTCGGTGGGGAGGAGTGAGAAGGGTGCTCGACGATGCCTATTTGAGGACCGGGAGGGAGACGCGAGATTACTGGGAGATCATCACTTGTTTGCGGGCATTCGGAGACTCGCGAAACTTCCCGCCATACTCATAATTCTCTCTTCATATAGCTGTATGCCTATTACATATCCAAAAAACACTGTGATATAACCGCGCTCGGATCGGATCGCTTTCTCACTGCAATCGAACCGCTCCAGGGTTCGTTTCAATCAAGCCGAGACCACCTCATTCAAGCGATCTCGGAACGATTACTTTTCCGCGGAACAGAGCGCAATGGCCCTGTTCACATATGCCAAACGAACCGCGCTAACTGGGCAAACGAGACAGGTTCCGAAACAAAAGTGTAGGTGTGAAAGCACCCTTCGTTAACTTACTTGAAGTATATAACACAAAACATTTTAACTATATTTAAATCAGGCCAAAAAGCTTGCATTTATAATATAAAATATGCACTTCTTGAATTCAATATTTACAGTAAAACCCCAAGATACCATGTATAATAACTGTTACTGCTCTGTTTTTAACAGGCTGTCAAAGGACAAGGGTGTGAACTTGTATCCGGACCCCTCGTAAAACTTGTTCTGAAATTCAACCCTGAAAACAAACACATAAAACACGTAAAACTTTCATCTGATCTGCATCTGTATCGCTTTGTGCTGTTCTTTTAATGGTTGAGCATGCTTTGTGTGCAGATCAAACTTTTATTACTGTTTTATTACTGTGTGTTACATTCATGATGTGGTAAAACACTATTAATACTAAACTTGGACACAAATCAAGTACAGGGACATTTGACTTTTCAGCCAGATACGGAATATCTCAACTTTAATAGATTAAATATAGACAGACAAACATGCCGTGTCAAAGGTCACAAACAAGTCAAATACCTTCACTAACATGCAGCTTACGATGATCAAGGTGCAAGGTTGCTATATTTATGCTAACACTTACTGATTCTTCAATGTTAAAGTGTGTCCTCGTGCTATTTTTAAAGCCTTTTTAAAAAGTTTGCATCCATTTAAGGCCCAAAAACACTCATTTTCTGATTGCTCATTTAAGATAGCCCTACTATCCTGATTGGTCAGATGGCCCTACTTTCATCTGACTGATCAGGTAAGATATCCTTACTTTTTTTGATTGATCAGATGGGCTTACTTTGATCGGATCGCTCAGGTAACATAGCCCTACTCTGCTCTGATTGGTCAGATGGATTTACTTTGATCTGATCTCTCAGGTAACATAGCCCTACTCTGCTCTGATTGGTCAGATGGATTTACTTTGATCTGATATCTCAGGTAACATAGCACTACTGTGCTCTGATTGGTCAGATGGATTTACTTTGATCTGATCTCTCATGTAACATAGCACCCTACTCTGCTCTGATTGGTCAGATGGAATTACTTTGATCGGATCGCTCAGGTAACATAGCCCTACTCTGCTCTGATTGGTCAGATGGACTTGCTTTGATCTGATTAGTCAAGTAAGACAGTGCTGCCCTGCTCTGATTGGTCAGGTATACTTACTTTGATGTGAGAGCTCAGGTAACATAGCCCTACTCTGCTTTGATTGGTCAAATAGCCCTACTTTGATCTGACTGGTCAGGTAAGATATCCTTACTCTGTTTTGATTGGTCAAATAGATTTACTTGGATCTGATTGCTTATTTAGGATACACTTACTCTGCTCTCATTGGTAAGATGGATTGCTTTAATCTGATTAATCAGGTAATATACCCCTACTCTCTTTTGATTGGTCAGATCGCCTTACTTTGATCTGACTGGTCAGATAGGATATCCTTACACTGTTTTGATTCGTCAGATGGACTTACTGATCTGATTTATTAGGTGAGATAGATGTTCTCTGTTCTGTTTGGTCGGATGGACTTGCTTTGATCCAATTAGTCAGGTGAGATATCCTTACTCTGCTTTGATTGGTCAGAGAGATTTACTAAGATCTGATTGGTCAGTTAAGATAGCCCAACTCTGCCTTGATTGGTCAGATTGACTTTCTTTGATCCAATTAGTCAGGTAAGATGTCCTTACTCTGCTTTGATTGGTCAGATAGGTTTTCTTAGATCTGATTGTTCAGGTAAGATAGCCCTACTCTGCTCTGATTGGTCAGATGGGCTTACTTTGATCTGCCAAATAATATATCCTTGCTTTGCTCTGATTAGTCAAATTTCCCTACAGTGATCTTACAGGTAGTATTTCTTTACTCTGTTTTAATTGGTCAGGTAAGAAAGCCCCACTCTGCTCTGTTTGGCCAGATGGCCGCACTTTAATCTGATTGGTCAGGTTAGTTAAAATAGCCCAACTATGCTCTGCTCAGATTGCCCTACTTTACTCTGACTGGTCAGGTAAGATATCCTTACTCTTGTTTTGATTGGTCAGATGGAGTTACTTAAATCTGATTTATCAGGTAAAATAATCCTACTCTGCTCTGATTGGCCAGATGGAATTACTTTGATCTGACTGGTCAGGTAAAATAGTCCTACTCTGCTCAGATTGGCCAGATGGAATTACTTTGATCTGACTGGTCAGGTAAAATAGTCCTACTCTGCTCAGATTGGTCCAATAGACTTACTTTAATCTGATTTGTTCAGGTAAACTAGCCCCACTCTGCTCTGGTTTGTCAGATGGACTTACTTTAATTTGATTGGTTAGGCAAGACAGCCCTACTCTGTTCTAACTGGCAGATGGCTCTATTATGCTTCATTACACGCTGCATAAGACATCAAACGAGAACAGATGCACCGTTAAATGAAGTCTCATACTAGTTGTTCATATACCATGTGTTAGGTCTTACCAGTGTAGTCGTAAAGCATGCAGAAATGCAGACAGGCCCTCCATTACCAGAAGAACAGTGACGGTGAGAACGGCGAAAGCAGCAAAGAGCAGCGCCAGCATGAGTGAGCCCAAACCGAAGGAAAGTTTCAAACCCGCCTGAAGCACCATCCGCCAAAGAACCTCCGACAGCTCTGAAAACAGAACAACACACACTTTGATTTTACTTTTCAATTTACTCCAGTGTCTTTTTTAAGAGACAGTTCAAATAAAAGGAATATTTGGTCAATGCACTGTAAAAAATGCTGGGTTCCACACAATTCCTTTAATGATTAAGATAACTTTTACAAATTGAAGTGGATTGAACATGAAACAAGCAAAGATGCAGTAGGAGATTGTCTTCAGAAACATTTTTTGTAGTGCTGGTTGAAAGTCTCTTCACAGTCCAATAGTAATGATTACAGTAAATGATCTAAATGTGTTTATATGTATTTTTATATTCTAGGTAAAGCATAAAACTAAAAAATGTTCATCCAATTAAATAGAGTCGGACCGAGATCTCCCATAATTCCGATAAGCAGCTCAGACTGTCCGTCAGCAAATGTAGATTCGGACTTCTGCGAATCTGTTCACGCAGATCCACCATTCACTCGTGCCTGTCTGCATAAGCGGCCGCGCGGTCACGAGACAGACCGGGAGAAATCAAATGCTGAATTGAAACTTTTAAAAACCTGAATCCATATTGGAGTTCCTTTAGCACACTGGAGGAAGAACGTCACCATGGCTGAAGTATTACTGTTAGAGAGGTAATGTTCTGTTTTAAACTATTTTAGTCAGGCTAAGCTTATGTTAGACTGTGTTGTTATGAATGACTTATATGCACAGGCGTGTTGTTCAGCCACTGAAATCTCCCGGTGGAAGATTGATGTGATTATTTTCAGTTTCATAAGGTTCTTTGACAGCATCCATAATGTAGATTTTTATTTAGTTTAACAACAAAACATCAGTAAATAGCACTATTCCGCCTAACCTGCTTTATTGAGCTGAAGTTGCTTTTATATTCACATTGGGTCATTTTTGAACAATGATAGCCTTCCTAAACTGTTTATCATGCTACTCTGAATATTCGCTCTGAAATAGCATGTAAGTGTGGCTAAGTAATAAATGTAATTCCTGCACGGCACTGGCTAAACACTAACTAACTGGCGAATGACATGAGCTAGTGGGTTGTCTGTCTGCTGTTGTGACGCGGTGCGCACGCTCGCGATTTCAGGGGGTGTGGCTTTGAATCACAGTCCCTCCTCGCCGTCTAAAGATAATATGCTAAGCGGTTAGCATTTTGGCAGATCACCTACTGCACCTTTAAGTTCTTCCCCCAAAAACTCAAGAACAGCTCATTTTTTTAAGTAAGTAGATTGAACAAGCAGCACAATTTTTGTTGTTGAGGTGTATTTACTTAATTGATATCTATGTCAGATAGTGTTTCAGTCCAAGAGAGATTTATACGAAACCACTAGGTGTTTTTCAACCAAACATTTGACATTTTTTATGCATTTTAGCAGTTCATTTACTCAACATCTGCATTTTGGGGCTCTGAATCATAATCGTTATCATCTCTGTGGCTGTGCAAACCACAAAACTCTAATTTTTGTGTTTTCTATTTGTGTTTTCGTTGTGAGGATTTGCAACATATATGTGCTGTCCAACCGGCAAAGATGTTTTTTTTTATTTGCTTGTGGTTTTTCTATTTGCATGTGTTTTTATTTAATTGGAGTGCATTCAACTCTCTCGGAAACCATATTTTTGGGTGAACTGCCCCTTTAAACTGAAGTGTGACAGGACAAACCTGCATGAGCCAGGCTGAGTGCCCAAAGCCGCAGATACGAGGCTGTGTTGGAGATGCAGCCCAAGCAGTACTCGATAGTGTGAATGGCCTGATATACGAAAACATCCCCCATGCTTACCTTAAGAAAAACAACATTGATCTTATTGGTTGAACAGCATACAGGTAGTTCACATATGGACATTTGAAGAATTTGTATTTCAAGCTATAACAGGATCCCACTTTATATTAAGTGGCCTTAACACTATGAGTGGTACTTACACTGGAATTAATCATTTGTTACAGTATACTTATTGTGTAAATACATGTTATGATTGATTAAATACCTGCCTGTAATTACATCTGTAATTAATTTCTGTAAATACATCTTTATTTGCACTGTTGTCATCCCTTACACCACCCTTAAACCCACTCATACCACCATAACTGTCTCGACCCCACCTCAAGAGCACCACAAGTGTACTGCAATACATCATGAGCACAGTAAGTAAATTGTTTTGATGCAAGTACATAGTGGTTAAGGACACTTAATATAAAGTGGGACCCATACCAGTATTCAGAGTGTTTCAATTAAGCTTTCATATAGCTAGAGCTTACCGTTTCATCTTTCTGATGACGCGCGAATGACGAACGTTTATCTGTACACTGCTGATCATCCAGACTGTTTCCAAAAACCTGCGTAAAGACCTAGTTAGTTACAATCCTTTTAACTATTTTTCATTTTATTTATATTGTCATATGTGGCCAATGAATGCACAGTAGAAAAGTTTCCCTGTACAGTTAAATTCTTTCTTTAATTTCCACAACAGATTGCTATTAATATAGCACACAAAATGAAGTGCAATAATGCAAACTGTTGTGCAAACTACAAAATATAGTCATAATAAAATAATTTAATCTTTGAATTAAAAATTTTGAAATGATAAAATCTAAAGGCATAGTTTGCCCAAAAATGTAAATTCTGCAATCTCTCTTAATGATTTTATCTTCATATACATGTTATATTTCCAACTCAGGCTCATTCTGAGAATGTACCTCTATATACATTTCTGGAGACCCCAAAATACGTCCCAGGAGCTACGTTTTTTTGCAGTTGAGTTTTCGCGAATCCACGAGAGGCCTCTGTGTATGCCTTTTTATGATCTCAAATTTCTCTCGGGAGTGTTATTCGCGCCTGCTGTTCTCACGTAAACCCACCAGAGGCTGCTGTGACTGACTGAACGATCGACTGACCCACCCTCCTCTTTCCCTAAACCCAACCAATTTTAATGACTGACCTGGCGACCCACTTCCCTAAACCCAACCAACAATTGTCAATCCAGAAAAAGAAAAGCCCTCATCTGATTTTTTTTACCAAATTTTCAGATTTTACCACGTTCTCCCCCTGTTTGTACTTGTTTGTTTTATTTTTTTATCTTTTGTTGTCGTCTTACCTGCTTTCTGGAACCGTTCTTCAGCCCCCGTCGTCGTGGTCAACTTCTCTCTGCGTTTCAAGTCTGTCGACGTACATGGCAAGCTAACAAGACAAACTGGTCACAGCGGGAAAGCTGTCCATTCAACGGTAAGCGGTCAGCTGGTAAGCGCGAAAAGATGCCGCCCCGTAGCGTTCGTTAAAAAAATTAAATGTCATTATACATACCTCTGGCTACATAATTTGCGATCTCCAGAAATGTACAGAGAGTTGCGTTTTCAGAAAGAGCCTATGTTGTATATTTTAATTATTAAAGCTTATTTTGATATACTTGACATACTATTAAAGTTTTTAGTAGCTAATATATAGATTCTAATATTTTATAATATTATATATTTTTTTATTTTATTTGCTATAATCATTTCTATAATTTCTGTTAATGTTTTATTTCTATATTATGCATTAATTTTTATTTTATTTAAGGTTTTAGTAATTTAGCATTTTTCAATATCTATATTTTAATGTGTAATATTTATATAGTTTTTAATTTGAGTTTTAGTAATTTTTGCGTGTTAACGCCAAACCCCAAATACTTACCTCACTCACCAGCAAAGGTCCTCCTCTCCTGACAGTCCCAAGTTTTGATTTAGCCTACTACAAGTTCCAGAACCCCATGCTGAACTCTGATTAGCAGTACCTGAAAGCTATCTGGCATCAAATAAATACATGTGTTTCAATTACTTAGTGCAAAGTTTTGTTTTGCTTGTCCCCATTTATTGTGTTCCTCTGATGCTGCCTTGGATTGATTTCCTGGATTTTGGATTGTTAGCTGCCTGCCCTTTGAACTGTGCTCTATTACCGTCTGCTTTCTGCCTTCCCATGACCCACGCCTGTCTTTGGTTTACGAATGTCTGCTGCATGCCCTGACCCTAGCATGTATTTACATTTGTTCTTGCATATCTACAACAGATCAGTGGAAGTTTACCATCCTTTTACCATCCTGTATTATAAAAAGCTGCAAATGTATCATCAGCCTTCAGTTTTATCATTATTACATGTACACAATGTCCTCAAAAGTGGAAAATGGACACACACCATTGGTTTTCAAGTACTAGCTCATGCCGTTATTCATTCATTTTCTTGTCGGCTTAGTCCTTTTATTAATCCGGGGTCGCCACAGCGGAATGAACCGCCAACTTATCCAGCAAGTTTTTACGCAGCGGATGCCCTTCCAGCCGCAACCCATCTCTGGGAAACACACACACACTCATACACTACGAACAATTTAGCCTACCCAATTCACCTGTACCGCATGTCTTTGGACTGTGGGGGAAACCGGAGCACCCGGAGTGCTCATGCCATTAGACTACACATAATTTTTTTATAAACATTAATACCTTTTAGTTAAAATCCCTCTGTAAAAAAGCTACTGATATTGGTAAATTAGTCTCCCACCTGATGTCTGGTTTTCATACGGCTTCTGTAGATGAGAAAAGGTTTCACCAGCAGCAGTACAGGAACCATCAGCACAGCCGTCACAACCAAGCAGATCTGAACAGCTTTCTGGAGAGAATTACAACCTGTAATGCTGAGAACTTTGACTGTGAATGGCCAGGAGTTAAAAAAAAAAACATAAATCCAAACCTGTCCTCCATACAGAAGCTTGTGGTCAGGCTGGTAATCGAACAGCATCATGCTGATGAAGAGCAGCAGAATACTGGGAGCCATTTCAGAGCTAAGGCTGACGCTCCACTTGTAGAGGATGAGGAAGATCAGATATCCAAAGAGACACAGCATGAAGACAAGCTGAGGGACAAACTGAAGCAAAATGTCCTGGAACTTTCGGAAATGTCTGTTAAAAGGAAATGGAAAAGATGATTTTAAAGGGATAGTTCAGTGGATGCCCTTCCAGCCGCAACCTGGTACTGGGAACACCCATACACTCTCATATTCACACACACTCATTCACTACGGCCAATTTAGTTCATCCAATTCACCTATGGCTCACGTCTTTGGACTGTAAGTGAAATCAGAGCACCCGGTGGAAACCCACGCCAACATGGGGAGAACATACAAACTCCACACAGAAATGCCAATTGACCCAGCTGGGACTCGAACGAGCAACCTTCTTGCTGTGAGGCGCCAGTGCTAACCACTGAGCCACCGACTGTCCCAACAGGAGTTATTCATTATATTAGAAACACCGTTTCTGAATGAACTCAAATGACTTTTCTGTAGTCATGAATTTTCTTCTTTGACTAATCATTACTTTTGTTTTGATATATAAGAAGAAATCATTATTTCATGATTTTTGTATATGCAGCATTTGTTATTTGGGATTGTCTAAGGGCCTACTCACACTATGCCATCTGTACCGTGCCCAGGCCCGTTTCCCGGATCATTTGAGAAGTGTGAGTGCGCTGAATCGCGCTCAAGCACGGTTCACTTGGCCGGCCCTGGCCCCGTTGGAAGAGGTGTGCCTGAGCGCGGATCACTTGGGCTTTGGCGCGGTACACTTGTGTGTGAGTGCAAAACGCGCCAAAGCCCGAAACTGAAAGCGAGACGTGACTTTTAAGGGCCTGTTTTATATGGATTTATTAATCATTCTTACTGTTTAGTGATCGCAAATCACTGAACGCAAAGTGATCTGCCGTAGTTTATTGAAGACGCAAACCCCTCACTGCACGACAGCTGCGCGCCTTCAGCAGACCTCTTCATTCCTGCAGCACGAGAGCTTTAGGATTGTTTATGAGCGCCAAAAGTGGCGGATCTGTCCATTAAAATATCTGACTGCGTGTCACCGCATCCCTAAGGACTGTTTGGCGAAATATTTGACTGCATGTCACTACATAACAAACGACTGAAAGGATATAACTAGAGAAATCTCCACTGTGCTACTGGGTGAGAGCGTATGGCAAGCCGTTTTAGCATTTAAACCTTGTTCTGACTCCATAAATATATTTAGATATATCTCTAATTGTATTTTGACTAGTCATAATTATAATTCGACTAGTCAGATTGGAAATATCTGCAAATATATTATGACTGACTAGTCATATTCCTCTATTGACTTCCATTGAAAAATATTTGCAGATATCTCTAAGTTTTGACTAGTCACAATTGTAATTAGAGATATCTCCAAATGAATTTTGACTAGTCAAAAATCCAATTCAAGATATCTACAACTGTAATTCGACTATTAATAAATTAATTAGAGATATCTTCAAAAATATTTGTAAATATCTCTAAATATGACGAATTAAAGATATCTCCAAATGTATTATGACTAGTAAAAACTCAGTTAGAGATATCTCTAATTACAATTGTGACTAGTCAAAACTCATTTAGAGATATCTGCAAATATTTTTCAATGGAAGTTTATGGAGGAATATGACTAGTCATAATTTATTTGCAGATATCTCCAATCTGATTTCGTACTAGTACAATAGTAATTGCAGATATCTCTAATTGTTATTCTGACTAGTCGAATTATAATTAGGACTAGTCAAAATATAATTAGAGATATCTCTAAATATATTTATGGAGTCAGAACAAAGATTTAAATGCTAAAAAGGCTTGCCATAGAGAGCGCTTCTCACTGAAAAGAGCAGCAGCGATGACGTAAGCGTGCCGAGGCCCGATATGGTGTGAGCGCGGGTCGTCGGGGGAGACGGGAGGGGGGACAAGCGTGCTTTGGCCCGGTTCGAGGCAACTGTACCTAGTGTGAGTACGGCCTTATAAAAATACTTACAGAAAGTTGACCAAACTCAGGGTCACTCCAAACAGCATATGAGCCACACCCAAGATGACAGACATTTTCATCTTAAAGGAGTTGAGAAAGGACAGCTTATTTGATGCTATATTCCAAATCTAAAATCAAAATGAAAGGAAAAAGGGGTATGTTATGATGCATTTAGGCGTAATGAATAATGTTATAATGTTTTAACAGCCAAGGTTTACACAAACTTAAATATGAAAGCTAACAGTCTGCTAAAACAAAACCTCACAATATTCATTCATTCATTTTCTTCTTGGCTTAGTCCCTTTATTAATCAGGGGTCGCCACAGCGGAATCAACCGCCAACTTATCCAGCATATGTTTCAGGCAGCGGATGGGCTTCCAGCTGCAACCCATCACTGCGAAACACCCACACGCTCTCATTCACACACATACACTACCCAATTCCCCTGTATCGCATGTCTTTGGACTGTGGGGAAAACCCACACAAACGCAGGGAGAACATGCAAACTCCACACATAAATGCCAACTGATCCAGCAGAGGCTCGAACCAGCGATCTTGCTGTGAGACGACAGCACTACCTACTGCGCCACCGCGTCACCCACCTCACAATATTATTATTGAAATTCATTAATTTTCTTGTCGGCTTAGACCCTTTATTAATCCGGGGTCGCCACAGCGGAATGAACCACCAACTTATCCAGCAGGTTTTTACGCAGCAGATGCCCTTCCAGCCGCAACCCATCTCTGGGAAACAAACATTCACACGGGCGTCAGCGTCAACACTTCCCATTCGCTTTGAATGGGTGTAGTCAGGCATTGCCGAACTGCATTGTGGATCCGTCGGTGCCGCTTCAAAGGCATTGAGAAGTTAGGACTAGCTCAACATTTCAAGCACAGACAGAAGCATCAGCCAATCAGATCGCTGTATGCAAATACACCAGCTAGACAGTGGCCTATTGCTGACTGAATTTCATTGGCTGACGCTGCTATGACGATCACGTCAGCCCCAACTTCAGACACGCCTTCAGTCAAGCGTTGACGTTGAGGCCCCGTGTGAGTGGGGCGATAGAGTTTTGAATTTGCCGCTGTGCTGACACAGGCATTTCTCACTCCACCCTTTTTGAAAAGAGGGCGGGAACACAAGCTTATTTGAATTTAAAGCGACAGTGACTCAAACAGCACAATTTGGGCCAAAGAGTTATAAAAAATGATTTGTGCGGTGTTTTGAGATTAAACTTCACATACACACACTAGGGACATCAGAGAGTTGTTTTACGTTTTATTAAAAGGGACAAAATAGGTATTTAACACAATTTTGGAAAAACTTTCTGATCCTATTCATATGCTGACTACTATATTTATCTAATTCTAAACATAAATTACGTCAAAAGTAAAAGAGAAAAAAGTGTAACCAAGTATTGGCCTAAAATGTTTGTATGCACTAACCGGGTCAATTCCAAACACATACGGATGACCAGAAAAAACTCCAGGCACAAACGGGTTCAGCTGAAGATGGTGATGATCGTGCAGTGTTTCATTTCTAAGATACAAGGAAAAAACTGATTAAAATGGAATATAGACCACTTTAAATCTGAAAGTGTCCATCTTACATACGTACTGCCAAGACCCGTGAGGGTGAAACATGGGCCGAACACACCAGGAAGAACCGAAAATGTTGAAGGACTTGGAGAAGCAGTCGTTATAAATGAGCCCAGTGTATATGGAAAACAATCCCATGAGCAAAATAATGAAACGCCCACCGACCAGGACATCTGTAAGCTGAGAGGGAAAAGAAATGAATGAAAAAATAAGCCAAAATACGCTTTTGAGACTCTAAGCAGGGTTAAAATTGGCATGTCGATGCAAATAAACACTGTTGCCGATGCCATGCAATACCTCGTTTTTCCATTTTCTTATATAGTCGGCCTGTGTGATGAGCCAGACAGAAAACAGTGCCATGAGCAGACCGTGACCACAGTCTCCAAACATCACCGCAAACAAGAAGGGGAAGGTTATGATAGTGTATGGAGCTGAGGAAATACAGTAAATGCATGATTACATAGTAATAAGTTTACTTCATTATATATGTAATATTTTAATGTTGTGTGCGTGGTGTGTGCAATATGCAATATACTCTGTAAAAAATGCAGGGTTTCCACAAAATTCCTTCATGTTGTCCAAAAGTAAATCAGTTAGGCTACCTTAATCGCTTTTACTAATTTAAGTGGATTGAACATAAAGCAATTAGGTTGTCCCTCACAAAAAACTGAAGAATTGTGTTAGTTGAACTCAATAATAAGTAGTTTAAACAAGCAGCAGATATATTTTAGGAGTGTATAAAACAGTAATAAAACAAATCCAATACTATTTAATGTAATATATTATATAAATAAATGTATTTAATTCTTTATTGCTCACTCTCACATATAAGTGTGTGTGTGTGTGTGTGTATGTGTATGTATGTGTGTGTGTTTGTGGCAATAAACCATTATAAAACAGAAAATAATAGTCGAAAAAATCCAGAGAAACTGGAATTGTTTTGATGTTTTCCTAATCTGTATAAATATTTTATTTAATTATTTATATTTATTTATTTATTTATTTATTTAGAATTAAATTTATTTTATTTTTTTATTTCTGTTTATTTATTTTTTAAATAAAATTTATTGAATTTTTATTTATTTATTTTATTTGTATTTATTTGTATTCATTTATTCATTCATTCATTCATTTTCTTGTCAGCTTAGTCCCATTATTAAGCCGGGGTCGCCACAGCAGAATGAACCGCCAACTTATCCAGCACGTTTTTACACAGTGGATGCCCTTCCAGCCGCAACCCATCTCTGGGAAATATCCACACACTCATTCACACACACACATACACTACGGACAATTTAGCCTACCCAATTCACCTGTACCACGTCATTGAACTGTGGTGGAAACCGGAGCACCTGGAGATACCCACGCAAACACAGGGAGAACATGCAAACTCCACACAGAAACGCCAACTGGCTCGATCCAGCGACCTTCTTGCTGTGAGGCGACGGCACTACCTTCTGCACCACTGCTTCGCCCTATTACTTTATTTTAATTTTTAATTCAATTTATTATTCTTATTTTATTTATTTTTTAATTTTTTTTATAAATTTTTTTTATTATATTTGTCATTTTTGTTTTCATTTAAAAAAACATTAACATTTTTTTTATTTATTTATATATAAGAATGAATGTATGTATGATACAGTAATGATATAGAAGACTACAGCGCTCCAACCAATCACCTGGGTTGATCTCCTGATAGGATACGAACCATCAATAATAGCCTGGAATACTTCAGTAAATAATTTTTATTTTATTATTTACTTATATATATATATATATATATGTATTTTTAATTTAATTTATTTTTATTTTATAAATTTATTATATATATAAAGCAGACTCCTAATTGATTTAATTTTTCTTCGATATGATTACAGTAAATAACAATTGACTAGATATTTTTCAAGACACTTCTATACAGCTTAAATTGACATTTAAAGGCTTAACTAGGTTAATTAGGTTAACTAGGCAGGTTAGGTTAATTTGGCAAGTATAACAATGGTTTGTTCTGTCGACTATCGAAAAAAAACAAAGCTTAAAGGGGCTAATAATTTTGACCTCAAAATGGCTTTTAAAAAATTAAAAACTGCTTTTATTTTAGCCGAAATAAAACAAATTAGACTTTCTCCAGAAGAAACAATATTATCAGGCATACTTTGAAAATGTCCTTGCTCTGTTAAACATCATTTGGGAAATATTTAAAAAAGAAAAAAAATCAAAGGGGGGCTAATAATTCTGACTTCAACTGTATATCTCAAACAGAAGAATGAATGTATGTGATGCAGTAGTGATATAGAAGACCACAGTGCTCCAGCCAATCACCTGGGTTAATCTCCTGATAGGTTCCGACCCCATAGGCATCAATAATAGCCTGGAATCCTTCAGTAAATGAGTTGGTTCTGTTGAAAGTAGGAGGAGTCTGCTTGGTTTGAATGCGATTCAGAACTGGAGTCACACTGGAACCACTTTGCTCCTAAAAGAAAAATCCAGCAAACATGAGAAACCTGCATGATATGAGGAAATAATAAATCCAAACTGATCACATTACAGGGATAGTTCACCAAAATAATCATAAATTACTCACCTTCACTAGTTACAAACCTTTTTGAGTTTCATTCATCTGAAACCTGTAACCATTGACTTCTACTCTGTTTTTCCTATGGACGTCAATGGTTACAGGTTCAGCTTTCTTCAAAATATCTGCTTTAGTGTTCAGAAGAAAAAAACTCAAAAAGGTTTATAACCACTTGTGTGAGTAAATAGTGATGGGCACATTGTTCAGAATTGAAATAACGCCATTAATGTGTTTAGATGCCTGAATACTTTGATTAAAATCTGCGTATGCCACTTATGTTAATATGCTAAGCTTACTGCAATTCAAAGCTTAATCAGATTTTTAATATTGAATTATTGCATTTACAGTTGAAGTCAAATTTCCCAAATTATGTTTAACAGAGCAAAAAAAAAATCACAGTATTTTTCACAGTAAATTAAAAGCACTTTTACATTTTTTAAAAACCATTTAAAGGTCAGTATTATTTAGGGGGGATTGACCACCCCGGCTGGGCCAGTTGGCGTTTCTGTGTGGAGTTTTGTGTGGAGTTTGCATGTTCTCCCCGTGTTGGCGTGGGTTTCCTCCGGTGGCTCTGGTTTCCCCCACAGTCCAAAGGCATGCGCTATAGGTGAATTGGATGAATTAAAGTTGCCGTAGTGTATGAGTGTGTGTGTGAATGAGAGTGTGTATGGGTGTTTCCCAGTGCTGGGTTGCGGCTGGAAGGGCACTCGCTGTGTAAAACATATACCAGAATAGCTGACGGTTCATTTTGCTGTGGCGAACCCTGATAAATAAGGGAATAAGTCAAAGAAAAAATTCATGAATAATAATTCATTCATTTTCTTGTCGGCTTAGTCCCTTTATTAATTTGTTGTCGCCACAGCGGAATGAACCACCAACTTATCCAGCAAGTTTTTACGCAGCGGATGCCATTCCAGCTGCAACCCATCTCTGGGAAACATCCACACACACACTCATACACTACGGACAATTTAGCCTACCCAGTTCACCTGTACCGCATGTCTTTGGACTGTGGGGGAAACCGGAGCACCCTGAGGAAACCCACGCGAACGCAGGGAGAACATGCAAACTCCACACAGAAACGCCAACTGAGCTGAGGCTCGAACCAGCGACCTTCTTGCTGTGAGGCGACAGCACTACCTACTGCGCCACTGCTTCGCCTCTAATGAATAATAAATAAGATGTAATTTAAATAAATACTGAAGCATGTATTACACAAACTAACATTACCAAAAAAATTGATCCCCCCAACCATCAATGTATAATTTTCCCCCTGCACACTAATCGTATACAAATACACGTACTGATCCCTTAATGAGTGCGTTTTGAACTACAGTGAGATCTGACACCGGACACCAGATCTCTGCAACGATCAGCTTCTGTGTGATGTCTATGTTGCAGAGATTGAGTGTGTAGTAAATGGCCTTCATCTTCTTGACTTTACTGCCCCACTCCTGCACGTGCTCCGCCGCTCGGCTCAAAACTCCAGCACGATACTCTTCTGTTCTTCTCAGGACCTTCAGGAGAAACACAAACATTCACAACATTTATCTTTGAAGGTTGCTTCCCGATAAAATATGAAAAATATCGATTTGACTGACCAGTCGGAGATCTTCCATTCGTGTCATTATGCTGTTGCTCATCTCCTTGCGTTCGTATAAAGTTTTGGGGCACGAGTACAAGCTGGCACGAAACCTGTTTGTCAAAGGATTTTACAGAATGTAAATCTAAACATCAAGCTAATGCAAATATACTGTACTAAAATTACAGCCATTAATAAATATACATGTTACACTACAACTGGGTCGTTCTAAAAATACGATTGTGATTGGGATTAAAATATTATTTAAAATACTCCACATGAATATACAGTTGAAGTCATAATTATTAGCCCCCATGAATATTTTTTTCCCCCAATTTCAGTTTAACGGAAATAATTTTTTTCACTCATTTCTCAACATAATAGTTTTAATAACTCATTTCTACTTTTATCTTTGCCATGATGACAGCACACAATATTTTACCAGATATTTTACTATATAATAGTATTCAGCTTAAAGTGACATTTAAAGGCTTAACTAGGTAAATTAGGCAGGTTAGGGGAATTAGGCAAGGTATTGTATAACGATGGTTTGTTCTGTAAACTATCAAACTAAAATATTGCTTAAGGGGGCTAATAATATAGATTATAAAATTATTTTAAAAATTTAAAACTGCTTTTATTCTAGCCGAAATAAAACAAATAAGACTTTCTCTAGAAGAAACAATATTATTGGAAATACTGTGAAAATATCTTGTTCTGTAGATAAAGAAACAGTCAACTAAACCAAATAAGACAACGTTTAATGTTTTGCATGTTTTTAATTTAACCCATACAAGTGAAAAAAGTACTTTCCAGGTACTTTCAGAGTAAGAAGAGGGTGGCAATATGTCCAAGTACTTATTTTCTAATAATCTTGAAAGAACTGCTATGAAGTTAATTAAAAAGTGTCAGTTATATTTTTGTATAGTTTTATTTTTTATGCAATCAAATACAACACAATAAATAACATAATACAAAAATAAAACACCAAAAACTAATAAAACTGTATTTAAATACCATTCGCTTTAGAAGGAGAAAATTGCATTGCAATAAATAAAATAAGAGAAATATAGAAATAAAAACTTTACCACCCTCAGATTTATTGAAAGAAAAATAAATTGAGATTAATGAAAAAAACATTAATAAAAAAATCAACAGAGTCTCTCACCCTTCACAAACTTTTCTGATCTTTTCTCGCACATGATCTCCTTGGACAAATATAATGAACGCATCTTTCTTCACAGCTCCCCGCTGTTTAAAATAAACACATTTTTAAACTACATTAGACTGTAATTTTTATTAACAATAGATATTTACAGATATTGACTTAAAAGTCTGCCTGAAAGTTTTGATTAAACTGTTTAACCCACTTATTTGAGTCTCAATATATTTTTTTTTTACCTATTAGTGTGCAATGTAAAATAAAACGTTAAAAATAGACTATTTAATTGAGTACGTATCATGACTTTAAATATTGCTGTTTATTAAATAAAAGAAATTGCCTTATTTATTCTAAATTATTCATCCTTTTGCATTAAAATTATGTTTAAGGTATTCTTTAATCAAAATAATTTTCCCTCCTTTTTAACATCTCTCTCTGATTGGTGTTTACTGGTACAAGGGGCGGGACATGTCAGTCATTCAATTCACAACAGACAATCAAGTCCCACACCTTGTACCAGTAAACACCAATCAGAAAAGAGATGTTAAAAGGGAATTTAATTAAAGAAAACCTTCAAATATGTAATGCACCAGGATGAATAATTTTAATATAAATAATGCAAAATGAATTTAAAAAAGAAATAAGAATTGTAGATTTATTTTATGGTAAATACAAAGTAAGAGTAGGATGCTCTTACCACTGCTTCAAGTTCTTCTGTGGTCTGTATCTCTGCATGCCGAAGGACAAAATTGCCATGAAAAAGTCGCCAGAGAACCTTTTCAAAGGCAGGAAATCTTTCTTGTTTGATAACACCTGCAATAAAGCTTAAAACATGTACAGACATGACATTAATTTTAAAAGCTTAGTTCACCCAAAAATAAAAACTCAGTCAATTAGGTTAATTAGGATGGTGTCGCTAAGCAAGTTAGGTTAATTAGGCAAGCCATTGGACAACAGTTGTTTATTTCATCAGTCAATATATATATATCAGTATATATATATATATATATATATATATATATATATATATATATATATATATATATATATATATATATATATATATATATATATATATATATATCAGTTTTTATTTAATTATTTAATTTATTTTTATTCAAGCCAAACTAAATGAAATAAGACTTTCTCCATAAGACATACATAAAAGAAAATAATGTTAAACATCACTTGTGAAATAATTATTTCATTTATTCATTCATTTGTTCTAACTATATACCGTTGACATCAAAATGATTTGTTATAAAAGGGATGCTGCAAAATATTTTCTAGCTGGTAGATTCTCATTCTAGGATGCAAGCAGAATGTAAGAGATACCCTAGATGTAGAGGCCCAGAGGTGCTGGAGCTGCTGTTTCTGCGGCTGGTAATGAATGATGAAATGGTCATCGACACCGAGTCATAAGACGAAGCCTCAGAGAAGGTCAGCAGAGACTCGGCCTAAATAACAAGCAATTGTAAATTCATACCCTTGTGATCACATAAAAAAATCATATGGGTTTGTAATGGCACATTATATATTAATAGAGTCAATAAATATTCAGACAGTTAATATATACACTACTGGTCAACAGTTTGGGGTCAGTAGAATTTTTAAAAGTTTTAAAAATGTTAATGCGCTATAAAATAACTGTTCAAAGGTAGTTTATAATTTAATTATTTATTCCAGTGATTTAATGATGAACTTTCAGCTTCATTACTCCAGTCACATGCTCCTTCAGAAATATTAATTAATATTATTATTATTATTATTATTATTATTATTATTATTATTATTAATGGTAATAGTAATAAAAGCCTTAATGGCTGAAGTAATAATTTCATTTCAAACAATATACAATAAGTAGTACAGAAATGTTTAATAAATAAGTATTTAACATTTTTTTTTTTTACATTTAATAAATGCCACCTTGATGAACAGAATAACTTTAACATAAATTATTATTAATAGTGAAAAAACTGACTCCAAACTTTTGACCAGTAATGTATATTGTAAATAAAACCTTTAATTATTAAGTTAGAAAGTTTAACTACTAAAATCATTTAAACCAAAATTAAGATTAAAAAAAATGAATACAATATATAATTACATTATACATTTTTGAGTAATTATTAAAGGGGACCTATTATGCAAAAATCACTTTTATAAGGGGTTTAAACACAGTTGTTTAAAAGTTTAACTTAATTAAATTTTTTTTTACTTTTTATAATTACACTTGATAAAAACAGTCTGCAGAAACTCATTGATTGACATTCTCCCTTTGTACATGTCATCAGAGTGAGAAAGCCCCGTGATGCACCTTAGCAAAGAATGTTATTCTTGTTTTTAAATCTGACACATAGGCATTTGTAGCTCCGCCCTCTTTTAAAAACAGCAAAATCTCATTTGAATTTAAAGCAACAGTCACCAAAATGGCACAATTACATCAAAGCTTAAAAGGGTCAGTTTCAAAGAGTTATAAAACATTATTTGTGGGATATTTTGAGCTGAAACTTCACATACAAACTTTAAGGACATCTGAGACTTCTTTTACATCTTGTGGAAAGGGGCATAATAGGTTTCCTTTAAAACAACCAACTAAACATGCCGAGAAATAAAATAAATTTTTACCTCTTCAAAGAAGTCTTCGGTCATCCTCAGCAGAGAGTCAATGTCCATCAGCTCGATCAGGTTCTGTCTGAGTGTGTCATGATTATGGTTGATTTCTCGCAGCTCCTGCTCCAACTTCTCAAATGTAGACTAAAGTTGTAATTAAAGGGAAACATTACATCACAATAACATACTGAATGTCTCGCTGTGTATCAAACTGTGTTAAAACAGGGAACTGTAAGAGCAAAAGGGCTTGGCCATTCATGATCAAGTATTTTATATTAGAGAGCTGCAAAGGGAAGAAAAGAAGCGAACAGATTCCTGAGGTACCCCATATACCAGGGGTCACCAATCTCGGTCCTGGAGGGCCGGTGTCCCTGCAGGGTTTAGCTCCAACTTGCCTCAACACAGCTGCCTGGATGTTTTAAGTATACCTAGTAAGACCTTGATTAGCTTGTTCAGGTGTGTTTGATTAGGGTTGAAGCTAAAATCTGTAGGGCACCGGCCCTCCAGGAACAAGTTTGGTGACCACTGCCATATACTGTATATTGTTTGCTTCAAATCAAATGTTTTAATTCTCCAATTCTCCTCATAGCTTGTTGGTTTGGTACCATAATTTTTTTTTTTTGAATCCCTATTGGAAGAATGAATTGAAAAATATCTTACAGAATCAGTGCTGCTGACAAGCGGGCAAAAGCGGAGCTAACACACACACACACACTATTTGAAACAATATAAATGCAAAATTAAAAGTGATGTTTTACCTCTAGCTCCAGCACGTCTCTAGCACATGGAACCATCTCCTTCTCCTTTGTTGCAGTAATTACAATGTTAGATTTCACCATCTCCTTCTCAAGATACCCTGAATGATGTACAGTTTCAAGACAAAACAGTCGGACGATTATAGTAAAGGTTCATGTCATAAAATAAAAGTGTAATCAAAGTTTTATTGCTACATCACAACTACATAGAAATATTTGCAATATTAAAACTTATATATGACAATATTAAGCATTTCCAACATGAAAAATACTATAGTAGTTTAGTAAAAAAAAAAGGTTCATGAATTAAAAGTGTAATCAAAGTTTTACGGCTAGATCACCTTAATAATAAGAGACTTTGCAATATTTAAATGTATAATATCAAAATTAACTATTTCCAATATGAAAAAAATATATAGTAATTTATGGTAAATATAGAGTTTTTGAACCATACTATTGTACAGTACTTGTATTATTTTGCTGTGGTAATTCTGCAGTTGCTGTGATAACAAGAGCTCTAGTAATATAAGCAAATACTGTACTAGATTTTCTACAAATAGGTATATATACTACAATATACCACACTGTGATAAAAAACTAAAGCATCCTGCAGTATTTATTTATTATCAGTTCATGACATTAAACTGATGACAAATTAGAGCGGTTAAAATAGAATTGTGCATCAGAAAAAAACCTTACTCAAAATCCTCTCCATTTGTTCACATTTCTTCACCTCCTTCACAAATCGCCTCTGAAATGCTGTCGCACAAGGATTCAGCTAGAAGATCATATGAAAACAAATGAGTGTGGGTTGTGCCTTAATATTAACGAGAAACAAAATCAAAGTATTATTGTTAAGAAGGAATATTATTAGCAAAACGTTTTTTATGTAAAACCACTAACTAAATATCATTCTTTCTTCCGCCAGAAAAATAGTTCCTGACCAAGTCTTTAGCTAAAACAGCGCGAGTTTTTAACTGTCGTTTAACAATGTAAATCGATCATAGTTTCAGAATCCTACCTAAACACAAAAAAAAAATTAATAAATTATAATTATTTATCTCTCTAAATGAATGGTACACTTACTCACACGATGAAGAACGGCACGCGGGCTCGAAAAAATTATAAAAATAATAATACGCCAGCAGGGGTCACTTATTCATCTAAATGTAGGCTACATAACTTTTCATCTCATTCTGCTGTGTTAATATTGATTAATTCGTTCAGCCTGTGTTGTGAAATCAAATTCTGTGTCAGCTAGGTTCAACATGAACTTAAAACCTCGTACTGTATAAAAATAATAAATAAGGAATTGACTGTGAGGCCCAATAAAACATGTAGGCTATTTAAAATGGAAAGTCTAAATAATTTGAACCTTCACATACCCAAATTCAAAGCCTTTCAATAATAAAAATATACTCCATCACAGATGTTCTAATTGTTTGGTAATGATTTTAATGGGATCCATGTTTTTTTTCCAGCAAGGATCAGATTGTGGAGTTCCTTACTTTAAACATTTTAAACATCAAATTCATATTCTCTTCCAAATATCTGTATTTTCTTAGAAAATATATTTGACAGATATATTTCAAATGCTTTTAAAGTATATTATCAAAATAAAAAAAGGAAAATATATTAAATAAACTTTAACAATAAATAAACTTTACAATACATTTTAGCAAATATACAAATATAATATTATATAGGCCTATAATATATATTTCATAGCTATTCTATATTATATATAGGTAAAGTCAGAATTATTAGCTCCCCTGTTTATTTTTTTCCCAAATTTCTGTTTCACGGAGAGAGGATTTTTTTCAGCACATCTCTAATAACTCATTTCTAATAACTGATTTATTTTATCTTTGCCATGATGGCAGTAAATAATATTTTACTAGATATTTTTCAAGACACTTATACAGCTTAAAGTGATATTTAAAGGATTAACTAAGTTAATTAGGTTAGCAGGTTAGGGTAATTAGGCAAGTTATTGTGGTTTGTTCTGTAGACAGTGAAAAAAATTAAACGGGCTTATTATTTTGACCTTAAAATGTTTTGTTTTTTTAATTGCTTTTATTCTAGCCAAAATAAAACAAATAAGACTTTCTCCAGAAGAAAAAATATTATCAGACATACTGTGAAAATTTCCTTGCTCTGTTAAACATCATTTGGGAAATATTTAAAAATGAAAAAATAAATAAATAAATCAAAGGGGGGCTAATAATTCTGACTTCAACTGTATATCCATGTAGCTTAAAGCAGACTATATTTAAAAAAATCCATACAGTTTTGTAGACAATCTGACAAATAAATCTTTCATCACAACATTAAAAATAAACAGTAGCTATTGACACAACTGAAGGCCTAACAATGCTCAAACACATTTTCAGCAGTCATTTTGTTCAGCAACTTGTCGTCACAGATGCAGAATAAATAACATAAGCTATCATTACAGTAATAATCATATACAAGGAGTTCATATACTCACATCTTTAAACTGAACCAGTCCAAGATGTCCGAGTTCATTGATGCAGTTGTGGGCCGATTCAGTCTGAAGAAACAGCTGAACGAGGCACATCTCCTCACTACGAAATAAACAACTCATCATTAAAGGGTTTTGCTCACTGAATATTTTTTTTGTATAAATGGACACAGCTGAGCAATGAGCGTCTGGTTTGTGGTCTATTAAATGTCTGTGTGTCAGATCAATAGTGTACTTGTGTGTCCTCTGGATCAATATAGTATAGAGCAGCTGGAGCATCAGCAGCTCATTATGATCAACACAACTGGAGCACGAAATACAGGCTGATATATATAACAGACAAAAAATCTAATATATTCCAAAAGCCAACATTAAAAAAGGAGGAGGGGGGGGGGTGTTGTTTTATATTTAATTATGAGGTGTAAATACAGTACATTTAGTTATAGTTTAGTTTAAAATCTCATTTAATTTCAAGAGCCAGCCTGGTCACAATTGTGGTTCTTTTTCCAGTAAAAGTGCACATTTAGCAGTTATTACTCATTTTGTATTTAATTATAAGGTGTTATTATTGTACATAATTTAATTTAACTAATTTTTGCTTGATTAGATTGTTGGCTGGTGTCACAATGTGCATGTTTTACATGCACTGAACATTACTTTTTTATTTAAACTGTAAGCTCTCTGTTAAAAATGTTAATTTGAAAAAATGTCTGTTTTATAAATAACATTAAGAGATTAGTATTTTACATAAATTTGAAATAGGGGCGACACAGTGGCTCAGTGGGTAGCACTGTCACCTCAAAGCAAGTAGGTCGCTGGTTCGAGTCTCGGCTGGGTCACTTGGCATTTCTCTGTGGAGTTTGTATGTTCTCCCCATGTTGGCGTGGGTTTCCTCCGGGTGCCCCGGTTTCTCTCACAGTCCAAAGACATGCGCTATGGGTGAATTGGATGATCTAAATCATGTGGTACTCACTGCAGACCCACTTGGGCAGAGCTGAGCTCAAGCAAGGGAGACTACTAAGCTCCACCTTTTTTGCACTTCTTCTACGAGTGATGTCACTGGGGGTAGGGTTAGGGGTGGGGTTGGTATACGCAATAAAACAGCTTACAGGAGGAGGAGCGACAGCTCATGCTCCCCCTCGCTGGAGCTCAGCTCTCCTCAAATGGCTCTGCAGCGAGCACCCTCTCTCTAAATTGGCCGTAGTGAATGTGTGTGAATGCGAGTGTATGGGATGTGTTGGGTTGCGGAATACGCCGTGTACTAACATAAGCTGAGTAATTTGGCGGTTCATTCCACTGTGGTGACCTCTGATTAATAAAGGGACTAAGCCGAAAAAATAAATAAATGAATAACATTTGAAATATAAATATGAAATGTAAAACTGTGGCCTATTCAGGCCTGTAGGCATGCAGGGTGGGTTTGGGTGATTCGGAAGACCCAACTTTCACTGACAAAGGTCTAGAATTTGCAACATGTTGGCGCTCTTTAGTGACTTGTTGGCGCTCTTTAGTGTCACATGACCTCATGTTTATCACATGACTGCCTGACGTCGGACGCGGAAGTGAAAACACCAGCTAAAGTAATAACACAAGCTTCTGAAGGAGTAAAAGACTCCTTAAAACAATATGAATGACGAATATTACCTCGAGCTCAGTGAAAACCCTGTGCAGTTTGAGAACGCGTCGAGCGTCAACAATGTGTTTTTCGACGAGGCAAACAAACAGGTGAGAACACGTTGCAATGCGTTTCAAAACATAGTGAGCTGCCTTACACAGCATTCTGGCCAAAACATGCGTCTAAATTCGGTCCCGAAAGAAGTAAAAAATGTCATACTTTGCATATTAGACGAGTGTTTAATACTTTAGCTTGAATTGTAGTTTATTCATTCTGTATCTGACTTGGGACTTTTTAAATCTCAATGCAAAATAAAAAAAGCCAAATATGAGTGTTTCTTATAGAGGTAAAGTTGGATTTATATTCGCAAATTCGTTCATTTAGAAGTTTCTGTATTGTTTACCATGTTACTTTAAATATTCCATCGGAATTAGCATGCAAGTGTGGCTTAAAAACAACATTAACACTGTTTATTTGACTGGAACAATGTTGTACTTTGATAGTCATTGACTGCTAACATGACTTCGCTATTTAGTTTGTAAATAATACTTTTATGAAATGATATCATTAAGGGGAAAGTCCGAATGTGTGAATATAAAACCAACTTTACCTCTATGTGTATTGAGGTAAAGTCGATTTTATATTCGCACATTTGTTCAGTGAAAACTTGTGACACGGTCCCTATGTTGTTTACCATGCTACTTTTAATCGGTCTGAAATCACATGCAAGTCTGACTTCAAAACAACACTAGCACTATTTAACTGACTGTGAACAATGTTGTGCTTTGATAGTCATTGCCTGCTAATATAATTTCCCTATTTAGATCTTGCAAAGTATATTTCATGTTTAATATTTATCTGTTTAATACATGGTGACCCGGTGGCTTAGTAGTTAGCACTGTCGCCTCACAGCAAGAAGGTCGATGGTTCGAGTCAGGCATTTCTTCATGTTCTCTCCTTGTTGGCGTGGGTTTCCTCCGGGTGCTCCGGTTTCCCCACAGTCCAAAGACATGCGCTATTGGTGAATTGGTTAAACTAAATTGGCCGTAGTGTATGTGTATGATTGTGAGAGTGTATTCGCTGTGTAAAACATATGCTGGAATATTTGGTGGTTCATTCCGCTGTAGCGACCCCTGATGAATAAAAGGACTAAGTCGAAGGAAATGAATGAATGAATGTTTAATATAACATTAAGGAGAAAGTCTGAATGTGCAAATATAAAACCCGCTTTACCTCAATGCATATTAGACGAACGTTTAATACTATAGCTTCAATTGTTGATTATAAATTTATTTGACCCAGGAGGACCACAAAGCCTTTTATTATTGACCTTTTATTTTAAATTGAGATTTATGCATTCATTCATTCATTCATTTTCTTGTCGGCTTAGTCACTTTATTAATCTGGGGTCGCCACAGCGGAATGAACTGACAACTTATCCAGCATATGTTTAATGCAGCAGATGCCCTTCCGGCTGCAACCCATCACTGGGAAACATTCATACACTTTAATTCACACAAACACACTACGGACAATTTAGCCTACATAATTCACCTATAGCACATGATTTTGGACTGTGAATATGGGGAGAACATGCAAACTCCACACAGAAACGGCAACTGACCCAGCCGAGGTTCCAACCAGCGACCTTCTTTCTGTGAAGCGGACGTGCTACCCACTGAATTGAGATTTATACATCACTTAGAATCTGAATAAATAAGGCTTATTTAAGCTAATATGTGGTTAGAATGGGACAATATTTGATCTAGATACAACTATTTTAAAATGAGGAACCTGAAGGTTAAAAAAAAAATCTAAAATTTTTTATGAAATTGCCTTTATAGATGTCCAAATTAAGTTCTTAGCAATGCGTTACTAATCAAAAATTAAGTTTTGATGATGTACAGTATACACAGAAATGTACAAAATACCATAAAACTTGGGATCTGTTTATACAGTTTCTAGAACAAAACCGAACATTGGCAAAAACAACAAATACATCTTACTCTACTGATTGATTGATATGTGTATATGTGTATTTTTGTATGTGGAAATACAGTATATTGGGTCCCACTTTATATTAAGTGGCCTTAACTAATATGTACTTACACAGGAATTAATAGTTAAATATTAGCATATAAATAACATCTAGTTGACTCACTGTCCCGCTTTTAATGACTGCAGAAGGCATTTTATGAAATTAACTCAACATGTTTTTAATTAATGTTTAAAATCTGATCAAATTTATGTATTTGTTTTCAAATTATATATATTTTTAATGAAATGTTTTTGCCATGAAAATTGCTGTTGTTGCTATCATGGCATTAAATAAACAGATATGGCATGATATGATATAATTATGATACAGTATGTTAGTTTTCATAATGAATTTTAGTTTGAATTTTATGTGATTTTAAAGGTGTTTGCGGTACGATCTGGTGGGGCTACAGGTGTTGTGGTTAAAGGACCAGATGACAAGAGCTCAGTGGCTTTCAGGTAAGTCAACTAGATGTTATTTATATGCTAATATTTATATTTATATTTGCATAAAGATTAATGATATTCGAGTATTAGTTATAGTATATATAATATTTTTAATTTCCCTTTTTACGTTCCTTTCATTTTAGTTTCACTTTTTATTTTAGCTTTCTTGTCTTATTTACACTTTTTCTCTAGGCAGCATTTCCAATCATTCAATATTTTACTTAATATTTTACTTTTTTTTTAACAATGTGTTTTTTGTTTTTGATAATGCAAGACAGGTAACAGAAAAACACAATTAAACTTCGTCGCAATTATTTCCCACCCCAACAAAAGAGCATCACTCTCATCTCCCCTATATAAATACACAGAATTCTCTTACAAGAGACAATTTAAATGCAAAACAAATATTGCTTGGTACCCCAAAACCAAGTATAGATTACTGTACTTTACACATAAAAGTTACATTATCCAACAAAACGACACACACACACACACACACACACACACACACACACACACACACACACACACAAAAATAAAAATACTAAGTAACACCTCCTTAATATTTAACTTAATATTTTATTTAATTATATCATTTGCTGAAAACTGTTTTAAATAGATTAGGTTAACACTATAAACACCCCCACAATTTTTGATTTTCAGAATGGACGACAAAGGAGAGGTGAAGTGTATCAAATTCTCATTAGGAAACAAAATCTTAGCGGTTCAGCGCACTACAAAATCAGTGGTGAGTGTCATTGATCATCGCAGTAAATACAGTCATTATGCACTGGTTCACTTTATGACAATAATTTTCTATTTCTCTCTCTCTCTCGCGCTCTCTCTTTTTTTTTAGGATTTCATAAACTTTATTCCTGACTATCCACATTTGGAATTCTCCCATGAGTGCAAGGTATATCCCTAAAATGATCAGACATAACATCTTAACGTCTAGTTGTTATGAATATGAATTGGTTATTCAATTATTCAGCATCAGCAGAATCAATGCTAACACTTTAGGTTAAGTAACAATTCATACTATTTACTACTGGATTATTACCTGCTTATTACTAAGATATGAACTGTTTATTAGCACTTTATAAGTATAATTTTATTCTAGAGCCTTAATCCTACCCAATACCTAAAACCAACTACTACCTTATTAATTATTAATAAGCAGCTAATAAATAGTTCATTGAGCTATAAGTCTTAGATAATGGTTTGTTAATTTAAATTGTGCATTAAAATAATGTGTGACCAAATATTTTGAAGGATATTCATTCTTTTATTTAGCTTTCTCTAACACAAATATTAAGCAGCACATCTAAAAAACGTTAATTAAATGAGAATTTGTGCTTAAAAGTGAGTTTTGGGTCATAATAAATTACATTTTAAAATGTAGTCAATTAATATTTCAAAGCATTATTGTTTTTACTGTATTTTGATTCAGTTAATGCAGCCTGACGGAGCGTCAGAATTTAATGTATATTAAAAATGATAATAAAATTGATATAATAATAATAAAATAATAAAATAATAATAAAATAAATGATGTTTTATAATAGAATAATGCCTGCTATTTTTGTTACACGTCTTCAGACAAAGAATGCCAGTATTCTTGGGTTTTGTTGGACCAACTGGAATGAGATTGTATTCGTGACTGATCAGGGGATCGAATTCTATCAGGTAATCCTTATAAATCTATATTTTAAACTAAGCACTTTTTAAAATGAGACCATTTACAACAAGTCTTTGTTTTTCCTCTGTTCAGGTTCTGCCTGATAAACGAACCCTGAAGCTTTTAAAGAGTCAGAGCATTAATGTGAACTGGTATATATACTGTCCAGAGACGGCGGTTCTCCTGCTTTCCACCACTGTGCAGGGAAATGTGCTCCAGCCATTTGCTTTCAAGGTGAGTTTGCTGTTTTATTGCAGGTTTCAGTCTTTGCTTTTCCACAAAAAATCAAATATAAACATCCCCACGAAAGACATTCTCAACCTAAAAACCCAGTACATATTGTAGAAAAATAATATTAGGAAGTCTAAAATGTTTTGGACAAGATTTATTTTCTGTAGAGTTTTAAAGATTAATATTATTATATTATTATTATTATTATATGGTTGTTGTTGTTATTATTATTATTATTACATCCTTTTTGTTAGATTTTTTTATTAAATATATGTTTTATTCTATGTTATATTATTCATTCATTCATTTTCTTGTCGGCTTAGTACCTTTATTTATCTGGGGTTGCCACAGTGGAATGAACCGCCAACTTATCTAGCACATTTTAACGCAGCGGATGCCCTTCCAGCCACAACCCATCTCTGGGAATTATATTATATTATATTATATTATATTATATTATATTATATTATATTATATTATATTATATTATATTATATTATATTATATTATATTATATATTCCTAAATTATTTTTTTACTAATTGTGTTATGATCCCAATTTTTATTTTAAAAATTTATTTCTTTATTTTTATTATTTTATTTCCTGTTTTTATATTGATTATTTTATAATTTATATATTATTTGCATTATTGGAACCCTGTTTTAATTATTAGTTTATTTTTTTAGTACCAATGCATGTATTCATCTATAATTTGCAATTGCTTATTGTATTCTTATTTATACTTATTTATCTTAAAATAAACTATTGTTTACAATTTATTTTTACTTTTTTTTTTCCATAGACCCTCCACATTTTTTGTCTACATATATTAATTATATAATTAATAATATTTAATATAATTGTATTATTTTAATATTTTTTGTATGGATTGTTTTATAATAATATGTTATTTACATTATTATAACCCAGTTGTTTCTCTAAAATTTCCATGGAACTTCAAGCACCCTATTGCCACCCCTATAGAAAATCAGGGTTTTGTTTTATAGGATTATTCAAATGCAGTCCAATACAATATTCAATGAGTTTTGCATCTGCAGACTTCAACCATAAGAGGGCAACAGTGACACAGGTTAACTCTGAAACTGGATTGTTGTGCCTTGAAGCTTGCTCTAACTTTAAGTTTTGTCCACTAGACTGCGACCATGTCAAAGATGTCTAAGTTTGAGATTGAGCTGCCAGCGGTGCCAAAACCAGCCAAACTCAGCCTCTCTGAACGGGACATCGCAGTGGCAACTATGTAAGACCTGTGTGTGAGCACCGAAGCCAATCTAAATCTTTCTTTCTTTCTTTCTTTCTTTCTTTCTTTCTTTCTTTCTTTCTTTCTTTCTTTCTTTCTTTCTTTCTTTCTTTCTGTCTGTCTGTCTTTCTTTCTTTCTTTCTTTTTCTTTCTTTCTTTCTTTCTTTCTTTCTTTCTTTCTTTCTTTCTTTCTTTCTTTCTTTCTTTTTCTTTCTTTCTTTCTTTCTTTCTTTCTTTCTTTCTTTCTTTCTTTCTTTCTTTCTTTCTTTTTCTTTCTTTCTTTCTTTCTTTTTTCTTTCTTTCTTTCTTTCTTTCTTTCTTTCTTTCTTTCTTTCATTTCTCTATCTTTATCTATTTATTTGATCCTAAATTTTATTTAATCTTCTAACTTTCTACTCAGCATTACTTTCTCTTGTTGCAATGTAATGGCAAATTCTTGCCCTTTTTGTCGATTTTTGTTCCTCTTTTTTTATAAGTTACATTTAAGGATGAAAACACTCTTTCTTTCCTATTGTAGTTATGATCAGCTGTATGTGATGTATCTGAAACATCACTCCAGAACTACCAACAGTCCAGGAGCAGAAGTGGTCCTCTATCATCTGCCCAGGTAATATATACTTCTATGTTAAGCTGCTTTGACACAATCTACATTGCAAAAGTGCTATGTAAAGAAACATGAATTGATTTGAACTATATATTAATATTACTATTATTGTCCCCAAAAATGTGTTTTTCCTCTCTTAAATGAACAGTTCACCCAAATATGAAAATGTCCTAATTTACTGCTTCTAAACTTTGATGAATTTTTTTCTTCTGTTAAACACAAAACAAAATATTCTGAAGGAAAAAAAAACAGCCATCAATATCAAAAGTCTTCAATAGACATCAATAGTTGGAATAAAAATACAATGGAAGTCAATGGCTGATTTTCACCAACGTCCTTCAGTATTTTATCTTTTATTTCCTTTATTTTATTCTTTATTTATCTCAAACAGGTTTGGAACAAGTGAAGGATGTGTAAATGATGGCAGAATTTTCAGTTTTTTTGTTGTACTATACAAGTGTTCAGATCTGCATTTTAGCATTTTTATTCACCTGTTCTTCTGTCTGTGAATTGCAGAGAAGGCACCTGTAAGAGGACTAATGTCCTCAGACTGAACACTACAGGAAAGTTTGCCATAAACGTGGTGGATAATCTTGTTGTGGTTCACCATCAGAGCACGCAGGTGAGTTTGACAAGCGTTAAATAAGTTTATAATCATCATATAATATCGTCACATGATACATAATGAACTAGTTATCTTGCTATCAGGTTGTTTTTCTAGCAATGCATATTTCTGATTAAAGTTAAAGATGCACTTATTTTAAAATTCCGGTCAATATTTTAATATGGTTCCATTTTATATTAAGTGGCCTTAACTAATATGTTCTTACACTGAAATTAATAATTTGTTGCAATGTACTTATGGTGCAAATACATGTTTTTAGATTGTACTTATGCTCGATAAAATCCCTGCATGCAGTTACATCTGTAATTACATTTATATTTACACTGCTCACCATCCCTTACGCCTTAACCCACGCTTAAACCTACCCAAACCACCAAACCTGTCCCTAACCTTACCCGTGTCCCAACTAGAAATGATCTGCAATACATTATGAACCCAGTAAGTAGATTGTATTTATATATTTGATAAAAGTACATAGTAGTTGAAGACACTTAATAAAAAGGACCTTTTAATATTCATTATTTTTGTAGTTAAATTAAAATATTAAATTGAAAAATCACATTTCGAATGCTTGTGATGTACTCGTCACTTTGCGATATCCATGCTGAAACGATATATTGTGCAGCCCTAGTGTGTATGTACTGTATGTACCCCGAGCTCCTGAAAAAAAAAAACCTTGTGTGTTTGTTCACACTTGGTGAATAAAGCTCATTCTGATTCTGATCTGCTCTGTAACATCCTTCTAATGCTTGTGTCTTTTTGCATTTCAGACTTCACTCATTTATGATATAAAGCTGAGGGAATTAGATGGCAATGTAAATGTGCATCAGCCTGTGCTTCCTGCTCGCTCCATAAACCCCTTCAAGATCCCTCTTACAGGTCAGATTTAGCAGGACACATCATTTATCTACTGTGTTCACATTTGCAGATCACCTCTCATGGTTTATCTTGTCTAGACAATAAAAAAATAAATAAAATCATAGCTATGTCTTAGTTAGCGTTCTCATTTTCTAGTAAGAACATAAATATGCAAAGCCAGATCTGCTAAGTGTGAACACACCCTTAATTTCTTCTTTTAATTTCGCTTCTCTGAAAGTCTCCAAAAAGTAATTGCTTCCCAAATCCCCACAGGACCTGCGGCAGCTCCAAGTCAGGCTCCTTTGCCTTGTGAACTTTGTATCCTTGCGCAGAATCTTTAACCTAAATGGTGTACAATATAAAACAGTATTTACTTGTGATTCTCAGACTTTTTCTTAACCGTTAAGACTCATCTTCTTGGAGTGTTTTCCAGCCTGATATCATCATCAGTGCCAGCGAAGGTATTTTATTAACCTCAGATAGCATCAAGTAAAGTGGTGGTGTGACTGAGGTTGATTGTGTATTTTTTGTGTATTTTTTGTGTGTGTGTGTGTGTGTGTGTGTGTGTGTGTGTGTGTGTGCGCGTGTGCGTGTGTGTGTGCGCGTGTGCGTGTGTGTGTGTGTGTGTGCGTGTGCGTGTGCGCGTGTGCATGTGCGTGTGTCAGGGTTTCTGTGGTATCTGCAGGTGAAGCTTCAGCCCACACTGAACCTCCTGCAGGATAAAGGCAAACTCATGGACTTCTTGTTGCGCAGACGAGACTGCAAAATGGTCATCTTGTCTGTATGCTCGCAAAGTAAGTTATTTTTCCCATATTTTATCTAGATATTTATCCATATCATTTATTTATAAGCACAAAACATTTATAAGCAAAAAAACATTTATATAATCTGTAACAATTGTTAAATAAATGATAATAATAACAAAAAAATAAATAAATATGTAAAATAAATAAAAAGACATACAATAAAAATAATAATAATAGTAATAATTAATAAAACACAGTCCATCTAAACATGCACTCTATAGAATAAATAATATACACCATCAAGTTTAACTTGGGCACACTCAAAACATTGGAAACGAAGTGAAAAAATAAGAGTAATTAACATAATTAGTTAGTAATAAGTTGTAAATTTAAAATTTTTCAGAGAAAATGAAATGAGCAAAACTAAATCTACACTGAAATTAAATTTAATAGAATTTAAAAACTTCATTTAACTACGAAACATATAATTAATTTGAACTCTGTACTAAAATTACTCAAACTAATACTGAAATAAGAAATAATGAAACTATACTATAGATTTAAAAAAAAGAACAAATATATAATTTTAGTATATATTTTATATTATATATAACAATATATATTAATAATGCAATGTATCTTAATATACAAAATATATAATAATATATATTATATCTTAATTTATATCCTAACATATAAAAATGTATAGATTTAAAAAAAAAAAAATATTAAAAAGGGCAAATAAATTGCATAATGCAGAAACTTTTTACAGAAAATATAATGAAAAATAATAGCTTAAATTTCAATTTAAATAAATTGTAAGTTTAAAATGAAAAAAAGCTCAATTAAATAAAATTCAAATTAATTTAATAATAATAAAAAAGCCTTTCAAAGTCGACAAGAACATGCAAACACAGTGACAGGACAGAAAACCTATTTTATTAATTCAAAATGTTGTTAAAAATGCTTATATTTAACATAATAATTTATTAATTTAATAATGCTAGATTCATGACATAATTTTATTAATGTTATTAGATAGTAATGAATGCTGCTTACTGAATTAAATTGCTTACTGTTGTTTGTTAATTTTATCTATAGATCTTATATTGTTGATATCTATCTATTTATATTCATCTATAATATCTATATCAATATCTATATCAATATCTTAATATCTATCTATCTATATCAGACTGTCTGTCTGTCTGTCTGAAACAGATAGATAGATAGATAGATAGATAGATAGATAGATAGATAGATAGATAGATAGATAGATAGATAGATAGATAGATAGATGGATGGATGGATAGATAGATAGATAGATAGATAGATAGATAGATAGATAGATAGATAGATAGATAGATAGATAGATAGATAGATAGATAGATAGATAGATAGATAGATAGATAGATAGATGGATGGATGGATGGATGGATGGATGGATGGATGGATGGATGGATGGATCAAAAGATAGATGGATGGATAAACGGATAGAGAGACAGATAGATAGCTGGATGGATGGATGGATAGGTAGGTAGGTAGGTAGACAAACTGATTGATAGATACTGATAGATACATGATCTTCATCTATGTTAAGCTGCTTTGGTGGTACAGTCTACATCGTAAAAGCACTATTGAAATAAATATGAATAGAATTGAACATTAGCTAAATTATATCATTGTAAAATATGACCAAACAAGCTAGAATAACACCCCAATATTACTTTAATAACAGCCCAAATTAATGTAAAATTTCTTAAAAAGACAACAGCCTGTTATGAATAATAATTAATAAATGAATGTCTTGTTTGGCAGTGCTCATAGGAGGAGATAAAGGAAACCTGTCTGTTGTGGCCACAGTGTTTGACAAGCTCAACCAAGTCTACAAAGAGTATCTGGATGCAGAACAAGCATACACTGCGGTCAGTGAGCAAAACTCTTGTTTTACACTGTACCTTACAAATACCTATAATAATATGTAGCATTAATAGTAGAAATGTGTTTTTCAGGCTATGGAATCAGGCCCCAGTCGCTCCAGCGCTTATAAAAGACCAGTCCGAACACAAGCAGTCATTGATCAGTCTGACATGTACACACACGTACTCTCAGACTTCACTGAGAAGAAGGTAAACGGCCTGCATTTACATTTTTAGGATGCTGTTTGGTTTATTATATTGCTTTATTTTATGGATGCACAATATATCAGCAGCCATATTGATATCGGCTGATAAATGCTGTTTTTAATATAAATGTTATCTGTCTGACCCACTTCACATGTTTACTGCCCACCACTATTTAAAAATTATTTTACTGGTAAAATAATTTGATTAATGTTCACTGACATGTTTGCTTTGTTCATTCATTTATTTTCTTTTCAGTTTAGTCCTTTAATTAGTCAGGGGTCGCCACAGCGTGATGAACCGCCAACTTATCCAGCAAATGTTTTACTCAATAGATGCCCTTTCAGCTGCAACCCATCACTGGAAAACACCCATACACTATCATTCACACACATACACTACGGACAATTTAGCTTACCCAATTCACCTATAGCGAATGTCTTACGACTTGTGGGGGAAACCGAAGAAAGCCCACGCAAACATGGGGAGAACATGCAAACTCCACACAGAAATGCCAACTGACCCAGCTGAGGCTCGAACCAGCAACCTTTTTGCTGTGAGGCAACAGCACTATCCACTGGGCCACTGCGCCGCCCTTTGTTTTATTTTTAAAATTATATTTAAAAAAGGTTGGCCATAGAAATATATATGCTATATAATATATAATATAGTACTTTTAATATGTACACTACATTACATTGCAAATAAATAGTTTATTATTAAAGTTAACAGATTAGTTCAAACTTTTCTGAAAATTTGGTAATCCAAGATCAGTGTTCACCTGCCTTTTTTTTTCCAATCATGCAGATATCTGAAAAAATTATATTTATCTGCCTGGTGGTAATTGACTACCTGCCATTAAATATGAAGGATTATCTCTGTGGTCGTTGACTGATCATCATTAGTAATGTTCTATTAATTAATTTGTGTGCTATAAATTTATGCTTATTGTATTTATACTACATTTATATTAGAATATATATATATATATATATATATATATATATATATATATATATATGTATATATATATATATATATATATATGTATATGTTAGGGATGTAACGGTATTGTAAATACCGTCATACCGCAATATTAATTTTTTTCGATATTACCAAAGTCGCATGACTCGGTAAAACTATAGGTCTTCTGAGAAAATTTTCTCAGGCGAATGAAGCGAACGGGAGGTACCGGAAAACTACAATTGCCATCAGCCCATGCTTGACCATCATCCCTTGCGGTCTGTTGTCGCTACAGATCCAGTAATGCGGAAATGGAGTGTGCTGCTAGAAGCGGGGATGAAAAGAGCTGGAAAACTCTAAAGCAGGTCGCACACCAGAAGCGCCGCGACACGGCGCGTACATGACAGATTAAAGTATCGCACACCAGACGCGCACATTCGAATGATATTTAACATGAAACTAATCAGATGGCGCTCTGTGGCGCGGCTGAAAAATTAACTGCGTCCTGAGCCGTCGCCGGGCGCTGCCGACAGCCGCCGACTTGCGGCGCCGGTGTGTGTATCCTGATAGAAACCTATGATTAGAATTCTAAAATACATGGCGCTGCGTGGCGCGCCGCCGAGCGTCGCTTCTGGTGTGCGACCTGCTTTACACGCACAGTTCAGTCCTGCATTATCTCCGTGTAAGTTCAGACTTCGCAAGTTTGATCAAGGCTGCAGTCTCTTCTCAGTTTGATATGGAAAAGCAGATTATACCGAGGGTAAATCTTCAAAGGGAACAGTGTACTTTATAACTTCATTCACATCACCCTGGCTTCGTTGTTTCACTTTCTCAACAATGAAATGTAAACATTATTTAAGGAACTGCTTATTTTCATTTTAATATTAGCAACTTAGACAGCAGAAATGTTGAGGCGCCGTGCTGCATAAGATGAGCGTCATCTTCACTGTGTGGATATTTATAACAAAACGGAGCCGATAACAACTGCCTCCTTTCAATTTCAGTGAAAATACGAAACACAGCCTCTCTTTTGCTGAATATCAGTTTTAATAATCGATAATGGCCATTTTAAAAGTATAACATACAATAAGTTTATACATTATAGGAAATAAAGGCGATCAGTCAATATACAGAATGTACGTGGTTACATTAATCATTAACTTATCTTTGCGCTCAGCCAAAACACGTTACCTGAGAACAAGTAATAGATTCCAATGCCCAAAGTCAGGGAATATGTCGTTAGATAAAGACAACAAGATAAATGAAATATCCCGTTTAATAAATATAGTGAGATTAGATCCAGCGGGAGATGCTTGATGAGAAGTCCGACTAGCAGAGCTCTCATCTGGGTAGATGGGCTGAGTGTGATTAAATGTTGAATGTGATGAGTTTTCAACAATACTAAATTGAAACTTTATTTTTTTTACATGGTTTAATAATTTTTTGTTATTAAAATTGAAGTTCCTGTTTCAAAGCTTACAGATAGATGGCTAATTTGTATGTCATTGACACTTTTGGCACTTTTTTGGAGTATTTTCATAAGTTTTGTTTTTTCCTGTAAATGATTCAATAAATACCGTACCGTGACATTCATACCGAGGTATTACCGTACCGTGAAATTCTGATACCGTTACATCCCTAGTATATGTATATATATATATATATATATATATATATATATGTATATGTATATATATATAT